CCTAATTGCAAAAATGAAATAATATCATGTTCATGTAATTCAATTTTGAGATAACTCAAAAAAAAAAAATTTACACTTTTTTCGTTGCCAATGTGAAATAATGTACGATGACCGTTCACATTGAACGTACAATGTACATTGTACTTAAAATGAAAAAACAACATAGGCTAAAACGGTCGAATATTTTGAATAAGAGCCGCAATGTAATGGAAACTAAATGCGAGTGGAAACGGTGTTTTCATCTAAATTGTGAAAATTTGATGAGCATTTCTTGACTAGTACTGTACATTCCATGAACGATACAATATCAAAAGTGTTGATGATATGAATATAAGATTCACAGGGAATAAGTGCTATCAAGGTTCATACTTTGAAGTTCGAAGTATAGCCGAAGTAGATATCGACCGGTGTTCTTTCATAGAAAAAAGCAGGTTTGTGTTCAATTCTGATGCATCGGTTAAATTCGAAGGATGCGATTTTTATAACGATTTTTTTTGGATGTCCGTGGAAAATCGGATACAAAAATCAAAAGATGCTGCTACTTCAATGAGGGAGATCTAAGTTTTCGTGACGACGTCACTTTGGCATTTGAGAGTAATCAATGTCACAAAAAAATATGTCTCAAAGGATTCGGAGAGGCCAATGCAATTATTGAAAAGTGCACTTTTGATAAGGCCGTCAAATTCAATTTCTACGAGAAACTTCAATGAAATTCACCAGAAATGAATGTAACGAAGGAATTACGGTTGAACATTGTGACAAATTCAATGCTATCGAAGAGAAGAACGTCTTCAATGGTGAGAATAAGTTTATATCATGTGCCAAATAAAAACATTCTTCTTTGATCCCGCAGATAAAAGTTACAGTCTTTCTTTTACTTTCAAATAAATACAAAAACTATGCCTGTTCAGTTTCATTTGTTCATAAGGTGTATGCTTGCAATGTGTTGTTCTCTATTGTATTGTAGTATTTAGTCAATACTACTGACGATCAAACTTGGCTTATGTGCCTTCCACTCAATTTGTCATTATAAGATTCGCGTATTGGACGACGTATGATTTCTCTACTTGTGACAAGAATCGCACCAACCTTACCATATTTAGACGACCAACAACATCATAAACAAGTTGTTTAAAACAACCTCATATTGAAATTATTTCAATCGGCTTTTTTTAACCTTTTTGGATCTGAGCGGCTTTTTACCTTCACACGTCTTTGAAAATGCAAATATTTATGCAGGACGTTGTACATTTTTCACATCGATGAGGTTTTCATGCACTTAGTGCTAGATTGAAAAATGATCGTGAAGCTGATCAAAAGGAGTAAAATGAGAATTCTCATGAATTTGTGGTCATTTTTTTAAATATTCATTTTAATGAATTGGAATTATTTGCATTTTGTTAGTGGTTTGAAGGTATAATTGGTTTTATTTTGATCTTCATTCTCTTTTAACCGAAGGGCTTGCGACGCCTGAAATACGGCAATATTTTCATATATTTCTATATTTCAGTCATATTCCGTCATATTTCAAATATAGCTGACATATTTGGCTACGAAAAAATATACGAAATATCAAGATGCATTTTGTGATCAAATAACGCTTCAATATTTGAAATATTTGACGTATTTGAATATATTTGGAAATATTTCACGTATATTTGTTCGTCACAAGCCCTTCGCTTTTAACTACGTTTTCTTAACGTTTTTCATGATTCTCAGTCTCCTAACCTACGGTTATGTTCCGGTGTTAGTACCAGAAATGTGTTAGTATTATCTCAATGCATAGGTACTAATTGTTAACCACGTTTTATAAAACAGCATTTTTCGACGAATTGTTTGAATTTGGGACATTTTCAAAGTCATCCACAGAAAATTTCCATTGAATGGCTTTGCATTGATATCTCCATATTAAGACAATAGAATTTCTTTGCTTTGACAAGACGTCTTTTTGGTAAATAGCATAAAAAACCTGTCATATGCTGTCTGAGGGTATGTCAGATTGTGAACATGTCGTTATGTACGAAGGGTGTTTTTTTTTTGTTAACTAAGTTGCATCTTTTCCTACATTTTCATATTCTGTTTACCAAGTTTAAGCAAAATCGTGTGCTTTGTTTCTCCATCCTGTAATATCATGAACTACCTGTGTGGATTCACAATGTGGGACTATCTATGACGTTGTGTTGGTGAATGCAAAAAAGCATATTCCGTTTCCGTCAATATATGAAAGTGAAAGTTTTGACGGTGGCGCAACACAACTACAAACGCAGGAACTATTAGAGGAAGTGTCAAGGATCGTAGAAAGTTTGACGGGTGCATTGATATATATTCAACGAAATACACAAATCAAACAGTTTACTATCGGCGGTTCGAGAGTGCACATCGAAATAAATTGTTTGAAATAAATTTCCGTATGAAATTGCTTCAGTGGAATAGTGAAAACGAAAACCAAAACCAAAATGAATTTGAATGACGGAGCTAAAAATCGTAAGTATTTTTCATGTTTATTTGGTGAAAAGCGTAAGAAATTGAAAAGTGTTGAAATGGAGTAGAATTTAAAAAAAACATTTCTTTTCTTCTCTTTAAACAGCACCTGAAAGTGATAAGGTTGAAAAAGAAGTCCAAACTAATATGGCGGCCGAAAAACTATTGACGATGCTGAGCGAAATGAAAGTTAATGAGCATCGTGAGCAACATTTAACTAAAACAATGGACTCAAGCATCGAAACAGAAAAAAGCATCCCAGAGATCAGCAGCCAAACTATTATCGGTGAAGAGTTTCAAGAAATGAAAGATTTCAGGTTTCGCGATAAAACTAATTTAACTATTGAAGGATGTACGTTCAGAAAAGGGTTTCAATGTATCATTTACAAAGATGCTACGGTTAATTTCGTTGGATGTGATTTTTCAGAGGATTTTTTTCTCGAATGTTATGGAAAAGTTGATGTAAAAATTGAAAAGAGTACATTCTTTGGGAAACATTCACTCATTTTGCATGATGCCACTTCGCTTAGATTGGAAAAAAATGAATATCAAGAAAACTTTGTTTTGCAAGGAAACAAAAAATCGACATCGGACATAGAAAGTTGTACATTCCATAAACGACTCGATATCAAAAGTGTTGATGATACAATTGTGAAATTCATAAGGAATAGGTGCTTCCAAGTAGCATACTTTGAAATTCGAGGTATAGCCAACGTAGATATTGACCGGTGTTGTTTCAGAGACAAAGGCAAGTTTGTGTTCAATGCTAATGCATTGGTTAAATTCGAAGGATGCGATTTTTACAACGATTTTTGTTTGGATGTCTGTGGAAAATCGAATACCGAAATCAGAAGATGCTATTTTAACAAAGAAGAAATAATTTTCCGTGACGATGTATCATTTGTATTTGAGAGCAATCAATACCATGATGAAATATGTCTCAAAGGATTCGGAGAGGCCAATGCAAATATTGGTAAGTGCATTTTTGATAAGGTCGCCAAATTCAATTTCTTCGATGAAACTTCAATGAAATTCACCAGAAATGAATGTAACGAAGGAATTACGGTTGAACATTGTGACAAATTCAATGCTATCGAAGAGAAGAACGTCTTCAATGGTGAAAATAAGTTTATATCATTTGACAAATAAAAACATTCTTCTTTGATCTCGAGTATAAAAGTTTGAAAATAAAACAGAATGAACTTTATCTTCTTGTTAAAATACTTAAATTCATTAAACTACCATCTTCCATCATTACCGACAGAATGTAACAATCTAAATACAAACCATAGAAAAACAATAAAACTTTCAACACTCATAACATAATGTCTTTCTTTTTCTTTCAAATAAATACAAAAACTACGCCTGTTCAGTTTCGTTTGTTCATAAGATGCATGCTTACAATGTGTCATTCTGTGTTGTATTGTTTTGATCAATCAGAATTTCACTCGTGTTACTTCCCAATACGCATCGTACGTCGTTAGGTTTCACAACACATTCAAAATGCAAACAATTATGCATCGTGTCACATTCTTTTTACAACTATGATGAATTGATGGTTCACTTAGCTTGAAAAATGTTCGGCTAAACCATCTGAAATGGTTTCAGATTCTTTTGCAGTTTCGGAAACTTCCTTGAGAACATTATTTTCTGCTTTTGCCATTTTGTCAAGCCGATCGAAAGAGTACGTATGAAATTGTAGAAATATCGACAAAAATGATCGATTTTTCACTAAAAAATTGCCTTTATCTCAAGAAAATGGGAAAAAACACCAGAAGTATGGGCAACAGTACGGAAAAGTTCGGAATTACAAATGTAATTCTTCTTATTTTTTTATTCGAAACGAACCTTTTCTTTCATTTACTAAAGTCAAGGAATGCAAACTGCATTTTCTACACCAAAATTGTTTCTTACTTGGTCTAATATGATCATTGCAATGATCATGATCTTCAACGTTCAGTTACTAGAGCTGTCGTAGTATAATAGTATTTACTTAAAGAATTCCATTACTAAAATTTGAAGAAAAAAAAAACGTTACAAACTTATTCATATGTCCAATTACAAGAGATGTACATTCAGACTCAAAAAGACGTCAGTAAATCGATGAGTTCACTTCAAGAAGAAAAAAATGAAAGCGAAAAGACCGAAAAAAAAACTTTCAAAATCGAACATATGTACTTAGCGAACATAAAAAATGTAAACAAATGACTTTGTACGTTGACATTTAGCACATTGGTGTACGCTTAGTCGTGGTAATGGGCCAATAGCTTTATGACGGTGTAAATACTCTGATTTCATTTAGATTTCTTTCTTCTTCTTCGCTGTTTGTCTGTTATCGCCTCGTGTGATACGGCGGTCGCAAAAAAGTGTAACACATAAAAAAGTCAGCCGAATCGAGTGACAAAAGAAAGAGATTTCACCTGAAACAACAACAAAATTCAACTTGGCACCGAAAAAAGTACGCTTCAATGCGATACGTGTTTCTGTGTCAATTTTAGTAATTGCTTGAGTTTCAAAAGTGTCGCATGGACTGAAAATTATGTCAGAATCGTGAGTGAACTTTCGTTTTTAAATGTTTTCACTGAATCGTTCCGTTAAGAATGTATCGCGTGATTCTAAGTGTTTTGATAATTGTGACGTACCAAGTTGGTGGAAATGTATCGGAATTCGTTGAAAATGAGATTTTGCATCGCTTTGAAAAGTCTCTATCAAAAGGTTACGATTTAGATGTATGGAATGCTTTGAATGCACTGAATGTTACGATGCAAAAATTCAATGAATTTCAAAGTGGAAATGGATTGATTGAGAGCCGTGATGCTATGATAAACAGTCGAATTGGTGTTTTTCTCTTCACACGATACTGTGGACCAGGAGCTAGGCTTTTGAATAAAATTTTTAAAACCGATGAACGCACTTATTCAAACATTGATACATGCTGCAGATTACACGATGAATGCCCCGATTATGTTCTACAACCGCATGACTATGAACGATATCCAGAGCTAGATGTGAGACCACAGTTTTTCTCACGGTTTGTTCGCTTAAATTAATAAGTCGAAATGCGAAATTCGTTCGAAATTGATTTTGATTGATTTGTCCTTTTTTTGTTCAGACTGAAGTGCAGCTGTGATGCAGAGTTTTACCAATGTCTGCAAACCATTGACAAAACCTACGCTTATTCCATTGGTATTGGCTATGGCATTTTTCAGCGTTACTGCTTCGAATTTGAACATCCGATTATAAGATGCTCCGAATATTATTCGTAAGCTTTTTAAATATGCAATTCTCAGAAGATTCAATCTAAATCCGTATCGCTTCTATTTCCAGAGGATTCGGCTTGAACAGATGCATGGCCTACGAAGTCGACTATAATTTACCCAAAAAGTGGCAATGGTTCGAATGAATATATGAACTTTTGAATTTTTTCTTGCAATTTTTAATCACTTTTTATTTGTTGTTAGGTTTGATGTGCTGCCTCCATATTTGGAAATCTACAACTTCCCACAGTTTATACAAAGCGCTCTTTCATTTAGTTGAATTGAAGTTATTGTGTTCACAATTGTACAAAATGGATTTTTCTCTTAAAAATGAATAAAAACAACATGATTGAATACAATAAAAAATCATTCCGTTAAAACGTGTCAAATAAGTGTATCAAATGACGAGATGTCAATTTAATGTTAATTGGGCTCGTTGTATTGAAATTGGCCTTCAACACAACGAAGGTGTCCTCTTTTAATTAGTCGAACAATATCTGCGTCACTCATGCGCACCAACTGGAATCCTTCCTCTGATGTCGATGGAATTTCGGAATCGAGTCTCCCATTTGCTCGTTGAGATGCTGGACGTAATGTCGAAATTTTGTCATTCTGTTCGCCTATGAATTGCACGTCCAAGATTGAGTCTGCATCGATTTCCTTCTGCGCTGGTTGTTCATTTTTTTCTGCAAATTGAAAAAAAAAGAAGATATGTTCTGTGTGCAATGGTATGAAAGAGTTTGTTTTCATCTAGGGGTTTCACGCAACTTAAAATTCATCTAAAATTTCAATATTTCTCTCTTTTCTCTAAAATTCTCTGGGATTCACCAAAATCCGTATTATTTCGAAATATTTCAACATTCACCTTGAACAATATGTTCTGGAAGTGGGTTTTGGTGGATCCCCAGGATCGTTCAAAACTGCTCCCGGTTCTGGAAGTGGGTTTTGGTGGATCTTCAGGATGGATCAGACTGCGTTTGACAATGCCCTGGTCCATCCTGAGGTTCCACTTCCAGAACCAGGAGCGGTTTTGAACAATCCTGAAACCCACTTCCAGAATTTTTAGATTCAAAAAATTCTAAAAAATTCGAGTTTATGAATAAAAAGAAGCAATATCTATAGTTTACACATAAGATGGTTTTATTTCCAGCTATTTAGTAAAATCTTCGGCCTTCGAGTTTGCGTGAAACCCCTAGGTTTTCATAGCAGACAACGTCAAGTAATTGGATTTTTCTGTCATCATCTCAGGCGATTTTAAATCAATTCAATCAACTTAACTTACCGTTTGAAACAAAAATATTCCGTAGTTCGTGGGCTGTCTTCGCCAAACGTGCACCGGTGGTCTGCAACCGGGTCGATTCGAGCCTGATTATTGTATTGTCACCAGATTCATCAGTTGTATTGTCGTCTATAGTAAGAGTACGTTTGAATTTCATGTTGGCTTGTTTTAGAGGCGATGAAGGTAAAGTCCAATCCGATTCCAGCCTGATTATTGTATTGTCACAAGATTCATAAGTTGTATTGTCGTCTATAGTAAGAGTACGTTTGTATTTCTTGTTGGCTCGTTGTTGAGGCGGTGAAGGTCAAATTTTTATTAATCTTGTCAGGCGTAAGTTGGATAAATGTCGGTACCAAAGTCAGTTCTGCATCGGTTTCTTCTCGTGTTGGCGATTTGTTCGGTTCTACAAATGAGGGTTTGAAGAGTATTATTGAGAGATTTGCATAAAAATAGGGGAAATAAGAAGACTAGCTGACATGCAGATCACATAAAAGAGAAGACCAGGGCGAATAGTTTGACTTTTCTGATTCATAGGAAATTTCGGTTAAATTCAGCCTAAAAACCTACTATTTGAAATCCGCACATTTCGTACTAAATTGCGTGCCTTCTCGATACGTGCACAGGTGGTTGAAGCTTCCGTCGAATTCAATGTGATGACTGTACTTTCAGCTATGGGGTCGACAGTTTTATTGAAAACTGCAGAGTTAAGTTCTACACCTGTTGACGATGTTTCTTTTGACTTTCGTCTGGTGTTGGCAATGGTTGTCTCTACGTCGACTCGGCTCATATCATGAAGTTCAATTGATTCATTGCCTACTGTTGTCGGTTCAATCGATTCAATGCAATCCATATCCAATGTCCCATTGTCATCGTCTTCTAGACACGATTGATATTGAATGTTGTCACTTGTATTACAATCGGCTGTTCCATTCACCATTGTAGACTCCGCTATATTAAGAGCTGTCTCTTTTGACACTTGTTTTGAAACTTCCCGCTTATTATGGTTATATTGCAAATTTCGTTCATGTTTATCATACTCAAGTGTGCTATTTGGATGCCTATTAAAGCAAGGAATAGAAAATATTAATGAATAGTACTTTAAAAACGCATTCCCCTCATTCTTACTCTATATCATCAAAATACCTCGCACAAATTCGTGCTTTTTGACCGATGTCATAAATTTAATGTTTTCAATGTTGGTGATATCTTATGGTTCTATGTTATGACAACATAAAAAAACTAGCATTGAAAATATTCAATTTATGCGCGTCTGTCAAAAAGCACGATTCTTCCCTACAGTGTGTACATGTTCTTTTGTAAATTTATTTTGAATAATAAAATGCGTAATGCATATCATACAAGATGAAACGTGAGTTAAATATACCTCTTTATAACTTCATTGAACACCAGTCTTGGCCTTAAAAGATTGTCGGCGCTTCGCATAATCTATTTCATTTCATTTAGCGCACGTAAATCGGTATACATTTGGACTTTATTCTCATGATTATGCTTAGCAGATGAGGTAACAAAGCATTTTCCGTCACGAATTCGTACTCGACAACTGCATTTACGTTCCTGACACCTGTAACTGATACCAGTCGGTAGGACTACATTCCAGCAATAAAGTTGTTGCTCTTCTTTCACATACAACAAATTTGAATTGTACCGCCAACCACGCATAAATTCATGAGTGACTTCACGATTAGCCACACGGGTAAAAACACTCGGTGTTGCACCGTCACTTATGCTCTCGTCTACAGAAGCTGCTCGTAATGCCATTATATCGTCGATATCACTCAATTTATCACTGGATATTATTTTCTCAATTTAACTTTTTCTCTTTGTTTTCAAATTTTCCACAAATATTTGTGTTGTCGCTCGAAACTTGTGTCACACTCACTTTTGTAAATAGTCTCGTTGAACGTGGACCAACAAAATAGAACCTATTTTAAAGTTGATTCATTGAACACTTTCAGATGAACACCACTTTTAACTGGTTACTCTTGCAAAGAACACAGTCAGAATGATGAAAACTAGAAATGATCATCTCTTTTATACCCTGTTTCTCTCGTGGCGATAATTCGATTGGTGTTGTCCGATCGATACAGAATCTCTCTAAAATTACCCCTTATTAGGACCTACAGCTACACTGTCCTTTACCACGAACTGCATCACTCTTTAGTATATTTATACTATTTTCTTTTAGGGCAACACCAATGGCTTGCAGTTTCTGTTGCCGATGCGGTAGAGTGATTATGTCTTCCGAACGATGAAACTGAAACAAAATGCTGCAGAGTGAATCAAAGTTAAGTTGAACCCGTGAGCATAAAAACAACGTATTGACTCTTCGCCGATGAATACGAAACGCAAAAAAATCGCCGAACAAAGTGAAACACCAATCTGTTATTGGATCAATATGAAGCATGAAATCGTTGGCTATTATTTTATTTACGTTGCGCTTTGTTTCGAAGCGCGGCACTGGTTTCATTTTATTTCAGTAACAGAACGTTGTATCACTTTGTTCGGCGACGCGCTCAATGTACTGTTTTGGAAAAATATGCATGATTTGATATAGTTTTGAGTCCATTGGTATGATGATTCATTTTAACACAACACCCATTCTATTTCGCTCACACTTACGTGCACTTTAACGTTGCTGAAACATGTACGTTCTTGTTTCTTTACTGCGCACATCTTTTTAACAGTAAAGCAGACTACTTTGTTATACGGGTAAAAATTGCACGTAAGTGTGAGCGAAATAGAATGGGTGTTGTGCGTCTGTGTTTTGGCCATGTATAGATTTCACTATATAAACCAATGTATTCACAGCGGTGAACCCGCGTTCTGAGGATTTCATACAAACTTCCCATGTAGACGATCCGAAATAGGCAACAGTCGAAAAAAAAAGTTTAAATTTTTTTTCGATTTTCATATAGTATTTTTTTCTGCTCTATTGGTGTTATCGGCACATCGAAATTCGCGCTCTTTATCAGTTAATTTTCACTTCATAGACAAATCACGACCAAAACCACCATTAAAATGAATCATCATACCAATGGAGTCAAAAGTGTATCAAACATTTTTGTTTCAATTAAAGTGAAACACAATTTCTATAGTCAGCCGATATTTCACGATTCACTTTCAAGCGAACAGAATTTATGTTGCACTCGCACAAAACTATATCAAATCATGCATATTTTTTCAAAACAGTACATTGAGCGCGTCGCCGAACAAAGTGATACAACGTTCTGTTACTGGAACAAAATGAAACACTTGCCGCGCTTCGAAACAAAGTGCAACGTAAATAAAATAGTGGCCAACGATTTCATGTTTCATATTGATCCAATAACAGATTGGTGTTTCACTTTGTTCGGCGATTTTTTTGCGTTTCGTATTCATCGGCGAAGAGTCAATACGTTGTTTTTATGCTCACGGGTTCAGTTGTCGTTGAATTTTTTTTTTCTTTTTTGCTCTCATTTTTTTGCAATGGGAAAATTGATATCTGCTCTAATTTTATCATTAACTCATCACCGTCGATTCTAACGGGGATTATTTGCTTTTGTTAAACCGTTTTATGCATCAGACAATACCAAACAAAGCGTCGTCCCTGGTATTCATGGCAAGACTCGTTTTTTTTCAACTGAATTTTTCAAATTTTTTGAAGGAATGTGTAAAAATATTGAAAAAAAGCCCAGAGAAATCCTAGCCTAGACATTTTTTAACCGAAATCAGAAGAAAATTGATATCTGAAACCTTGAAACTCAAATGAAGTTTAGATTGTTCGAGGCAAAATGTGACCTTTTATTCAAAATTGGTATCCTTCCTATACATTTCCATGGAAAATTTACATAAGCAAATATTTTCAATATTTGACACAAACAAAAAAAAATTTCTAAGGAGATTCCACAATATGGAACGTCATTCGTCTAGAATTAAATTTCAAATCCCAATTCCAAATGGACGTCTGATTTACACGGTCTAATTGATTTTTTTTCTATCAATCCCAATTTATTTGAAGTATTCAACCGTTTCAATCCATCAGTTGTCCAAGAATTTGAGAACAAATCATTCAATTACCATTGACTAATACTGATCATCCACATCCCTAATTGCATTTTTTTGACATATTGTTGCTCTTTATTCTCAAGTCTGTTTGGTGTTTTGAGGCTGCAGTCAAATCATAAATAAATCTGCTAATAGCACTTTTGCTCTTCTTCTTCTATTCACATTTGGCATCGACAGTGAATACATACAGATAACAAAATATCTGTTTCTAAGCATTATCTCCTAATTAGCTGCAGCTATTTCGAATTTGTGACTCATTTCCCGAAAAAATTCGTAGCCTCTTTGAATTTGTGACAGATTTTTTATGAAAAGTATTGAAATACTTGCCAAAAATTTAAAGAGGCCACGAATTTTTCTTGGAAAATGAGTCACAAATTCAAAATAGCTGCAGCCATTCAGGATATAACGCTTAGGAACAGATATTATGTTAGCTGTATGTATTCACTGGGCACCGAAACCGAAATATGAAAAGTCAACAGGAGCAAACTATCAACACTTTTATGCAATAATTCAAAACCAATCTTCGAAGAAATAGTAGGTCAAGTGATGGAAAATTGTATGGCAGAGCTAGCAAGTAAATACGGCATAATGCAACGCTTGTATTTAAGCCTGTGCCATTAGCAAAAGAACTGGCCAGCCAATTTGGCTATGATATCACAAAAAAAAAAATCGTTAAAGCAGAATGAATTTCGCCATCAAAATCACCAAAACCAATTGATACTAATTCGTCAGAAATTTGTTTGCATTTTTCTTCCAAACAACATGTATTCCATTTTAATGCTTCGAGCATATACATTTCTCAACAGTACATATATATGTTTTAATAGTTTAATTCGTTATTAAATGGCTTGTCTCGGCTTTTTTCTGGTACTATATTATTTGAAACGTTGAAATTTACTTCGACATAAATTATTCACATTCAATGGAAACTACCATGCAAGATTAAGGTTGCCAAATCAGCTAATCGCGCATTGAACATCAACTTGTTTAACACTCTTGCTTTGTTGCCATTCACTTTTCGTGCGCTTTTATGTTCTGGAAATTATGCAACATCTTTGTAGTCGGTGCTTTCACAGTGTTTAGGAGCGTTTATTGATAGTCGGCTCAATGGTCTAGTTGTATGTTTCTCACTTTGGATGCGAGTGAAGCCCAGGGTTCAATTCCCTGTTGGAACTCACCGGTGTTATCGTTTTTTGTTTTCAACAATTCTTTATCACTTTTCAATAGTTCAAAAGAATTGTTGTATGCTGATAAAACAAAACTGTAGAGAAGATGGGCAAACTGAATAGCATTTGTGTGACGAAAAAAAACTCATAGTTTCTTGGTTGGCTTAATTGGAACTGGAATCGCAGTATCATTATTTAATTGAATGCATTTGATGGAAGGAGGAACAGAGGCAGACTAAGGAAAATGACTTTTTCAACAGCACAAAACCTCAACTTATTTTACTAGAACTACTCTCTGTTACATTCAAAAAGAATAATAAGAGAATAATGTTCGTTTGTTTTTTTATTACTTTTATTGAATTTTAATGCAAAATCTTATTGACAATTTTCGCTAATTAATTTTATCATCTGTTTATTTATTTTTCTTCACACCATTCATCTTCCTGGCGAATCTTCTCCTTTTCTTCCGGCGTAAAATCGTCCTTAATATTGAAATGCTCACGGATTTCCTTGGGTGATTTTCCCTTAATCATGTTTGCAACCGTTTTGCATGCCGCATCCATTAATCCTTTGGTGTCCAAGTAGTTAGCGGCCTCAATGATCTCAAACAAAGTGCTTTGGTCGACCTTCAGAAAATCAGCGTCCCACGATGAAATGTCGACGGTGCGTTTTTCCTTCGTTTTATCATCATCGGTTGGAATTGGATCGTCCTTGTGGTGGTTGGCCCATTGCAAAACGTGTTTCAAAATGTTGGAGTTTACTTTAGGTAAGGGTACAACGCCTTCTTCGCCTTCATCGTCCAGACCACAATCTTCCAACATTGTTCTGATGGTGCCTGAGTACTTGGCTACTTGAGCATCGGTTTCGAAGTACTCTCCGTCCGATGATTTCAACTTAATGAACGCCATCTGGATGGACACAAAAACAGAAACATTCATTAATATTTTTTTTTAAATTTTGTAAAAAAAACGTTGTTTTTTTTTTTCATTAAAACAGAATACCATCAATATTTTTTGGTCGTACTTACTTTTGTAAATAGTTTCGTTGAACGTGCACCAAGGAAAACAAATTAAAACTACCTCAAATTGATTTGTTTAAACACTTTCGGATGAACACCACTTTTAACTTGTTACTCTTGCGAAGAACGCAGTCAGAATGATAAAAACTAGAAATGATTATGTCTTTTATACCCTGTTTCTCCCGTGGCAACCGAATTGGTGTTGTCCGATCGATACAGACGCTTTCTCGAATTACCCACATTAATACCGACACTGTCCTTCGCCACGAACTGCATCACTCATTAGTATATTTAATAAATTTCTTTTTGGACAACACCAATGGCTTGAAGTTTCTCTTACAGTTTTCAATTCAGAAATATATTCTGAATCACAATTTATCGTGTGATTTGGTTTTTTTTTTCGTTTCATTATAATTCAACCTATGCTTTTAATAATTGCAACCGAATAGAATTGTGGGAAGAGAGAAGAGCGACAAGTCCTATTGTGTATACCAAGTCGATGCTCTGTATCGTGTTGTCCGATAGACAAAACCTTTTTACAAAAGCTAATTAGCACACATCCAAGGGGCGAGTTACTACTGAAAAATTGAATTTAGTACTTTTCAGTGGTTTCCAGTACTTTCAGTGCCCAATAATAATAAATACTAGTATGAAAGTACTGAAAATGGCAATAACTTTCGAGGAGAAAAATGAATAGATGGCAGATCTGCCAAACAAATTTCAACGGTCAAAAATCCCGTTTTGATACTGAAAAATACTGAAAATATATTTCATTTCTTTTCAGTACTTTTCATTTGTTTTCAGTGGATTTCAGTCTTTTCAGTATATTTTCAGTAGTGATTCGCCCCTTGCACACATCAGCACCCGCGTCCAGGCGGTGATTTTCGAATTGTAATAAAAAAACATTATAATATTACGAAATAAAATTAGGGTTTACAAACGTTTCGACAAATACCGCAAACGGTAATAAAAAAAACAACGTAATTTTAGTACTACATGAAATGTAGAGCTACTAATCTGCGTTTTTTTTTCTTATACTTTTTCGAGCCATGAACAGAATTAGAGTGGCTTTCAATTTTATGCTCATATTTTTTATTCAATTCAAACTAGTGGCAGTAACGACAAATAAGTGCATAGTATCTCGAAACGCTAATCAAATTTTTATTATCAAATGTTATTTAAAATTTACATTACTTTTTCCTTTCTTTGTATAGTACTCTTTTACCCTTTAGTATAAGTAATGGTTGAGATAAATTCTATGCGCATATTATTTATTTGATTTAAAGGAGTTACATTAATGAACAATAACGTATAATAAAACAATGGTTTAGTTAAATTGATTTAATATCATATGTACTATCAAGAATTAATTCCCTTTTTTGATTATACATCTTTTCATCATACTTTTATCATTTATTTTACTTTACGAATCGATATTCGCAAAACAGAGATGACTACAAATGCATTTCGTTATTATTTTTTTGTTATTTGTATATATCAAAACATAACAAAAATAGTAATGTAAATGAAAAATTAAAAAAAACAACAACAACTGAATAAGGTTACACAAGATGTTTTTATTGCTTTTCATATTTCCAATTTATGATATTACTTCTTTTTCTTCTTTAAAGAAAGAACATTCTCGAACGATGAATCCAGAACATTCTTCTTACGCTTTAATGAATTTGCACTATCACTTTCCATTCTCTCAGACCCTTTTGGTTCTACTTTCATCTTTTTGGACTTCTTGAAATTGGTAGACTTCTTTTTCCGTTTTGATACTGATTTAATTTTAATGTTTTCAACAGATATAATTTCACGCATTACAACGTCAATATTTTCATCATCAGAAAAGTTCATTTCGTGGATTTACAAATAATTTTAACCAAACTAAAATTACAATTGGAATTGACATTCAAATCACAAATATAATTCAAAGACTACTTTAATAAAATACATTTCATGTAGTGCGCCAATAAAATAGTTTGTTGTGGAACAACAAAATAGAAAAAGTATCTATAAACTCAAGAACGCAGAGCGGAGCGGAGCGACGCTCTGTGGTCTTGTTTCTACTAGTATAGTTTGTCCTATTTTGACAAGAAAACAGCAAAAACAATATTTTTGGGCGTTATTTAACGGCTCTATAGAAAAAAGTTTTCAGAAAACACTGAAAAAAATAACTCGTTCTTAAGCCTTAAATAAAATGGATAGGGATACATATTCTACATTCTTTATAAATTATTCATCGACATTTTTAAATTATGCATTTTGAAAATCCATAACAATCAATTAGTTTCTACATGTATTTTTGTCGGTTTCAAAAGCAGAAGATGCTCAACCAGTGATAGTGAGAGTAACTAAATTATTATTGAATTCGTACAAATTTTATTGAAATCGTTCATTAGACACGTTTTGGACAAAATTATTTTTGGTAAATCGTGCAAAAAGAATCCACTGTGTTGAAAATAGCTAAACAGAGCTCATCTTGCTCTGATTGGTGTTGTATGATGCCTAAAAATGATTTAACGAAAGCAAATCACCCTCAATAGAATCGACCGTATGAATTAACTTAACTATTTAAGTACAGATGCCAATGTTTTCATTATAATAAAACGAGAAAAAAAAATCAAAACGCAGATTAAAGTTTGATTGAAAATGAATGTCTGAGTTTAAAATGTCTGGTTTGCAATCATATACATTTCAATTGAAAATACAACAATTAAATTACTTCATCATACGCGGACGCCCAGTCATTCAAAGTGACTGAAACATTATACCAGTGATAAAATTTGCCTATGTTTTTATATGGAGCACATGTTTATGCTATATTTAAGCGACATCTTGACGGTACACGCTGAACTATGAAACTTCTTTATAAATATACTGCCAACTATCAATGACAGCAACAATAGAACGTATTTGTATTGCAAAATACTTCCACCTTGCAGATGGCGCCAAACCAAACGTCATTCTAGTCATTTTTCTCATTGATTATACAAATCATGGTGTTATCTTTTAAAGAAAATCACTCGAATGTAGTACGTTGAAGAAGAATATTGTTTTAGCCAACTACGTGAACAGAATCAAACAATGAATAATTGAATAGAAATTTCACTTTGAAACATTTAAGCCAATGCTGTCCGAACTTTTTTTCCCAGCATGGCCACATAACTGACCGAGAGATCAAGCCAATGGCCACTTTTGCTTATAAAAAGGGATAATTACAGCAAATACCGTTGAAAAACCGTTTACAATCATCAATGGGATGCGTGTCATTCTTTATTTTCTGTGAGATTATTTTAAGTCAGGAGTCGATGAGCATAGTTCATAATAATGAAGTTTAGATTCCAAAAAGTTGTTGAGATAATACAATACGGCATGTTAAATTCGAAAATGAAGCCTCAAAAAGGTATTTGGAACCAAACATACAAAGGTATTTTGGTACCATGTCATTTATAATTAAGTAAATTGTAATCAGATATCAAACATCTCTATCACTCATTTCATTCCGACTGTGTTCTTCACAAAAGAAACAAGTTACCAACCGAAAGTGTTTGAACAAATCGATTTCAAACGGTTTTATTTTATTTTCTTTCGTTTAAACTCAACGAAATTATTTTTAAAAGTAAGTACAGTACGAAATCGATAATCCGTCTCTCTATAACCGTCATAATTTTTTTTAAAAAAAAGTTTCAGTTCAATTCACTTTGTACGACGTCTATAATTTAAAAAAACGCTACTTATCTCTGTATTCCATTTCGAATATTGATTTGAAAAGCAAAAGGCACATTTCTGTACCATCAGCTGTGTTTGTTTTTGTTTGATTTCATAAATAAAATCGAGGCCGTACGGTAAGAGAAGCACATAGAGAGATGCAGAAGCAGGACGAGGCGATAGCACGCACAATTACCGATCTGGAATCACTAAGTTTAGATATGCTAAACGGGGGCGAAGAATTTGTTCGGTCAATTGCTGACAAAGCGATAGCTCATTCAATTGCCGATCTGGAATCATCAAGTAGAGATATGCTGGACGGGGGCGAAGAATCTATTCGGTCAATTGCTGACAAACCAATAGCTCATTCAATTGCCGATCTGGATTTACTAAGGAGAAATATATTAGACGGGAACGAAGAATCTATTCGGGCAATTACTGTGCTAGAGATGCAGAATAATGACAATGCGATAGCTCATGCAATTGCCGATCTGGAATCAACATCAACATCATCCTCTTCAGCGGACGATAATTCTGAGGATACCTGTCCAATTTGCTTGGAAGATATTTCAGCGAACCCTAGTTTTACTCCGTGCATGCATAAATTTTGTGCAAACTGCCTCAGATCATCACTTGAGCATGGAAATATATGCCCTATTTGCAGAACGGTCATAAGAACATAAAAAGTTGATGAAAAATCAATGGGCCATCATAGCTGAGGCGGACATTAATGGTGATCGCAAAAATTAAAAAAATATCATGAAAATTATTTAGTAGGAAAATTAATTCAGTAGACAGAATAATTTCCATCTAAATATATAATTATAGTTCATTATGATTGATTAATTTGAAAATAAAACAAGACCGCAGATCGTCGCTTCGCTCCTCTCTGCGTTCTTTTTGCGTTGTTTAAAATGGTTTTTTTTTACGTTAATTTGATTTTTCCATCAAATTATTCATTCAAGCACTACATGGAATGTAGTTTCAATCGAAGTATACATTTCTGTATTTTATGAAAATTATTTTAATCAAAATCAATAATGTTCGACCCGGACAAAAAGTTCATTAGACAAATCTTTCACTAAATTGCCGTACTGTGAAAAAATTAAATATATAAGAGAAACATTAAAAAATTTGGTTATAAATCATAAAGATAAATAAATAAATATTAATATATATTAATTAAATAAATTATAGTATTATTAATTATATTATTTTGGTTTTGGGAACGATAATGTGAACGTGGATTGTACATTATATCACATTGAGAATTAAAATAATATTAAATTTTTTTTTTGAGTTATCTCAAACATGAATTACATGAACATGACATTATTATATTTTTGTGATTAGGCGTAATTGGTTTATTTCAAATTAGAACTTTGGATAGAAAGAAGAATTAATTTTCGGTCCAAAAATAAGGCCTAAAGAGTCTTAAAAATTTCTTGGGAAAAAAAACAAATGCAATAGCCTATATTCCATGTATTCTACATTCCATGTAGTGCTAAAAAACAGTGTGGCGAGCACATCCTAGCGTTAGAATTTAAATTGTCATTTCTTAAATTCGTGTGTGAGTGAGCAGCACACTTGTCACCGTCTTACAGCCACTTGATTGTTTCTCTTGTGTCAACTCCTTCTTCTCATTTCGACCGCTCAACCGAACACACGCTCTCACGAAAACATCATTTTTCATACGCATTGTAAATCGATTCATTCCAACTCAATTTTTTAATCATTTCTTTTCCTTATTATTAGTTAAGTAATTTTGTTATCTACACACACGGAAGAAAGGTTAAGATATTCGCTACGCCCAGTTTTTTTTTTCCTTGAAAAAAACCAAAATTTGAGATTTCTCAGACAAAATTTATTTCGGCGCCTCCATTTTACATACATTATGGAGGTTCGAAAAATAAATGTTGTCTGAGAAATCTCAAATTTTGGTTTTTTTCAAGGAAATAAAAAATTGGGCGTAGCGAATATCTAAACCTTTCTTCCGTGTGTGTAGTTTTACCCTTTGAATTTATTACAAGAGAACTATTTGACCATTGTCAATATTTGACACAAACAAAAAAAAATTTCTAAGGAGATTCGATAATATGGAACGTCATTCGTCTAGAATTAAATTTCAAATCCCAATTCCAAATGGACATCTGATTTACACGGTCTAATTGATTTTTTTTTCCATCAATCGTGGCTTACGTGACAGGGCTCGTCTTTTTTTACTGAATCTTCCAAGAATTCTGATGAAATGTGTAGAAACGTTTGTCAAACACTCTTCGCTACCTGTCTCTTTTCGTGCGCTGAGTTATGTTTTGGAAGTATGCAAAATGTCTGGAGTTGGTACGTTCGGCATTGTTTTGGGACGTCTATAGATAATCGGCTCAATGGTCTAGTTGTATGATTCTCGCTTTTGGTGCGAAACGGATCAGAGTTCAATTTGCTCTTGAGCCCACTGTTTTATCTTCTTTTGTTTTCTTCAATTCTCCATCAGATTTTAGTAGGTCAAAAAAATGGTTTTATGTTGATAAATAACACAATATTGAGGGAAAATGGGCAAAATTATCTCTTTTCTGGCAGAACTCGACATTTTTACAATTTTTTTTATTCAATTGCAAAAATCTTTGAAAATTGAAAGGAGTAATAGAAACACACAATGTAAACCATTTTAAGTAAGATACTAGATGTAAATAAATTTATGTAAAATTTCAAGTGGTCAATTTGTAAGTTAATTGACCCATAGCAATAATGCGTATATTTTTGTCAATTTTTTTTCTCTAAATTTTCTAGCATTTCAAACCTAATTGTGAGTGTGACAAAATTTGTCACTGACGAATTCTTTAGTAATTATTATCAAAGATACAGTTTGTATACGCGATCGATTCGGTGGCGTCTATAATATGGGCTTGACGATGATCAGTTGAAACGCTGAATGACTTCAAATTCCATGAAATGTATTCACGACAATTCATTCAAATTGTTTTTATCGAAATTGTAAACATTTTTCTACAAATAGTATTCCAATTTGAATAAATGTGGAACAAAACGATTGGAATCGATGGCCAGCGCCATCTATCGAAAGCACATGAAAGCAATTTTTGTGGTGATTGAATGAATAACATTCATTGAATATGTAAACACATGCTATTTTTCTGAATACTTTTTATTGTTAATATTTTTTGTCATAGTCTAAAAAAAGAAATTCATAAAATAAACAAAGACCATAATTTTAATGAAAATTCAAAAAGATAAAACAACCAAAACGAATTATCAATCAAAACGAAATGTGTACGTGCATGAAGTGATCCGATGGGATCAGTTTTGTGGAAAATGACATGACATACAACGAATACACGAATAAATCCGTCGTTGCCAACTTAATGTCAGTCTTTACGCCATTCACACTGGCATCGTACATAGTGCGGCGATTGCAGCAGCAATATCAATCGCATTTTTTCATTGTAAAATTGTAAGTGTTTCGAGTAAAAGTGTATTTATTCCATAAAACAAGTGGTAAATTATGTGAAAATGATGAAATTAGTGGATGAATCATGGAAATTAATGGAAATAATATCATTGATGGTCACGGAAAAGTGACAGTGTGGCACAATGCGGTTTATTGCTATAGTGCGTTGTTCACACACACTCACACACATACACGGGTGCTTACCGTCCGTGAAAGCTGCTACTACTAGTTCTGTGGCACACCTAACCTCAAATTCCACGTTTTCTATTCAATTTGTGCGAGAATAAAAAAAAAGTCTACCATAAATTCCACTTGATTGTCTACAATAAATTTGCTCGTTTTTAATTTTCCAGACACCACGTGAAAAGGAAAACTTAATAAAACAACAATGTCGCGTTTCTTTGCAACCGGTGGATCCGATAGTGAATCGGATACTGATTCAGAAAAGGAACAGATTGTGTCACGTCCAGCACCAGCTGCATTTACGGTAAATTTTCGCAATCAAACACACGCATTGCAATTTGCAATAAATTGTTAAACAATTTTTCGTTTTCGATTTTCAGTTCAGCGATGAAGAAGAAGAGGTGAAGCGTGTGGTTCGTTCAATGAAAGAGAAGCGTTATGAAGATTTGACGAACATAATCAAAAACATTCGAAACTATCGGAAAATCAAGGATATGTCAAATATACTGCAAAATTTCGAAGATTTAACGCGTGCCCATCAGAAAGCATTGCCGGTCATTTCGAAGGAAGAGAATGGAGTCACTCCACGTTTCTATGTACGTGCATTGGCCGAATTGGAAGACTTTATCAATGAAGTGTGGGAAGATCGTGAAGGGCGTAGAAATTTGTCGAAAAACAATTCTAAAGCGTTTGGTCCGTTGCGTCAAAAGTTCCGTAAGTACGTAAAAGATTTTGAAGCCGATTTGGCCAAATTCCGTGAATCACCGGACGATGAAGACGAACCAGAGGAGGAGAAGGTTGAAGAGGAAAGCGAAAGTTCGGAAGATGAACGAAAAGCACCAAAAGCCGTCTCTTTCAAGAAGGAAGAGAAAAAGGCACCGAAAGAAGCTGATGACTCAGACGATTCAAGCTTCTGGGGATCGGACAGCGAATCCGATTCGGATTCATCCGAAGAAGAAACGCAATACGTTAACATTCGCGAACGTTTCTTGAAGAAAACAACCGAAAAGGAAGACAAAGATGATGAGGAGAAAAAGAAGAAGAGGAAGGAAAAGGAAGTCAAACCACGCAAACAACACGAGGGCAGTGATGATGAAGGCGGTTGGGAAACAGTCACAAAAGGCTCTTCGACTACCGCCGAAAAGCCGAAAATGTTCGCCAAGGATGCCGAAATTGATGTACCATTGGTGCTCAACAAGCTCAATGAGGTTCGTTTTTTATCATCATTTTTCATTTATTTCTCAAAAAAATTTGGGCAATCTGGATATTTTTTGCATATCTCTCATGATTTTCATGAGTCAATTCAAATTTAAGTGTTTGGTGTTGAAAAAAAATTTGAAATCATTCCCTTTCTCCCTTCAGATCATGGCATCACGAGGCAAGAAACGTACCGATCGTCGTCAGCAAATCGATCTATTGTTCGAATTGAAACAAATTGCTCAGCTACACAATTTGGGCGATGCCATTGCATGTAAAATTCGTTTCAATATTGTGTCGGCCGTTTTCGATTACAATCCAAAAGTGAATGAACCGATGAAGTTGGAATACTGGAGCAAGTTGTTGGACGTTATGAACGACTTGGTGACACTTCTCCTGAGCTCGGAAGACATCACTTTATCGGAATCAATTAACGAAGAACAAGAAGAATACGAGAAGGCACCGTTCAAATTGCGTGGATGTGTTTTGACAGCTGTTGAGCGGCTTGATGATGAATTCACGAAGTTGCTGAAGGAATGTGACCCACATTCAAATGAATATGTCGATCGGTGAGTGTTGCACAAAGTCAGAGTTCTCTTAATCAGTGAATTATAATCACAAGAGTCGTGTTTTTCGTCTTTCTTCGGAAGAAAATGAATGCTTAACCTTGAGATGTGTACTTTTTGTACAGATTACAGTTTTGCTAGTTAGAAATAAATTGTTTTTAAATGATAGATATTTTTTGTTACACGAATTTTACAAAACATTTCATTTTCAATCGTATAAAACTGTTCACTAATCGCATCTCTTCTCCAGTTTAAAGGATGAAATACGTGTCACAACCGTTATTGAGCAGGTGTTGCAGTACATCGAGCGTGTTGGCGGTGAAACGGAGATTTGCCGTGTTTACTTGCGTAAAATCGATCATTTGTACTACAAATTCGATCCAAATGTATTGAAAAAGAAGAACAAGGAAATCGACGAAAACACCGTCACCAGTGTGAATGTCATGGAGAAATTGTGCCGTTACATCTATGCTAAAGATCAAACAGATCGTTTGCGTACAAGAGCCATCCTATCGCACATCTACCATCATGCATTGCACGATAACTGGTTCCAAGCGCGTGATTTACTTTTAATGAGTCACTTGCAAGAGAACATCCAACATTCGGATCCACCAACTCAGATTCTCTACAATCGTATGATGGCCAATTTGGGTTTGTGCGCTTTCCGTCAAGGTTCTGTCAAGGATGCCCATCAGTGTCTGGTCGATTTGATGATGACCGGAAAACCGAAGGAACTTTTGGCACAAGGTCTATTGCCACAACGTCAACATGAGCGTAGCCCCGAACAGGAGAAAGTCGAAAAACAACGTCAAATGCCCTTCCACATGCACATCAATTTGGAATTGTTGGAATGTGTCTACTTGGTATCGGCTATGCTTCTCGAAATTCCATACATGGCCGCTCATGAATTCGATGCCAGACGCCGTATGATCAGGTAAATTGATCTCTTTATCAACAAATGAAGTCTTCAATCCAAAATTAGGAACATTTCTAAGGGAACTCTTCCGATTTTGGTCACAGTGTTTAGCATTTGTTCGACATCATGCCATTTTCGAACATGAATTCGACCTACATTAATGCAAAAACTCGAGGAAGTATTGATTGAGATTTTATCATTGCTTTGCGATTGTTTTTCTACAATACGAAACCATCAAGTTCATCCAGTTTTTATATAAACAAAATTCAACTTCTTGAAATGTCACATCGAATTCTGTAGTTGAAATTGAATCTTTTACAATTTTGCTCCTAATTTCAATGTTTTTCGTCCTTTTCAGTAAAACATTCTATCAACAATTGCGATCATCGGAGCGTCAATCGTTGGTCGGACCACCCGAATCGATGCGAGAGCACGTTGTCGCTGCAGCAAAGGCAATGCGTTGCGGTAACTGGTCAGCCTGTGCTACATTTATCGTCAACAAAAAGATGAACACAAAAGTATGGGATCTGTTCTATGAAGCCGATCGTGTTCGTGACATGTTGACGAAATTTATCAAGGAAGAGTCATTGCGCACGTATTTGTTCACCTATTCGAATGTGTACTCATCGATTAGTATGCCAAGTTTGGCCGATATGTTTGATTTGGCCTTGCCGAAAGTGCATTCCGTCATTAGTAAGATGATCATTAACGAAGAATTGATGGCATCATTGGACGATCCAACCGATACGGTTGTCATGCACCGTTCGGAACCATCACGTCTGCAAGCACTCTCAATGCAACTGGTCGACAAAGTCACCAATCTGGTTGATGCCAACGAACGCATCTTCGAAGTTAAACAGGGCACAAACTTCTATCAACGTGGCAACCAAAATAAGAACTTCGTAAGTGTGGCTTTTTGTGTATTTTCTTCGCAAATAATGATGGAGGCTCTATCAAAAAGCGTCCTTTTTAGACGTTTTTTTTACATTTTCCCTTTTTTTAATTCTAAAACTACACGCTTTGTTCTTACTCCAAAATTATTTTACCTTTTATAATACTTTACTTTTATCCGTTCAAAAAAGCAATTTTTCCACCAATTCCTTTTTCGATACCATTTTTGGTTTCAACTCTTCAATTCCAATCGTATCAATCATTAAATGATGTTTCATTCAACATTTCAGAATTTCAACAAGCAACAACAGCGCGGAAATTATCGTAACCAGAACCAGGGTGGCTACAATCGTCGTAACCAAAACAATCATCAACAAGACAGAGGAGACTGGAATAATGCCGGCGGACATCGTAACCGCAACAATCGCAATCGCAATCAAAATAATCAATACAACAACCACCAGGAGGAAGAGTAAATCATCATCCATTCGAATTTCCATTTGTGGATTTGCGGCAAACAAAAGAACCCGGCGAACGAAATAAGGAATACCAAGCAACAAACAAACAACCAATCGGATAAAATTGATAAAAAAAATTCGGCTTTTTTTCGCGAACAGAGAGATCGTGTCATTTGTGCATTCGACTTCATATAAAATCATATTTAAAAACAAACTGTCTTTTTTTGTACATTTTATCAATATTATATAGTAAGCATGAATAGCACAAATGCAAGTAAATCAATTCCAATCATATTAATTTGTGTAGATCCCGGTTCAGATGTTATTGCATTAGACACTGAACCGGGGTCAATCAATCTAATAAAAAAAAAATTCATAAACTGTTTGAATATTTTTTGAAGAAAAAAAAACTTGAATTTTGTCCATTTCAAACCATTTCAGCATTCAATTTCCAATGTTACGACGAATAAAGAAGAGAATTGATTGCAAGAAAGAAAAAAAAGTCCATGAATATTTTTCGTCGTGTTTTTTATTGATCGATATATTTTGTATAATGCCATGTATTTATAGTGTTCCATAGAATTTGGAATTAAATGTTCCAAACAAATAAAATACACTCTTAAATGCTAATGGTGGAAAAAATAGATACAATTTGCCCCTCATTCGAAAGTTCAGTAACTTGTTCAGCCGGGTGTTCAATAGTATGAAGACGATTCTAGAGTATTCTCGGTTCGTGACAAAAAAGGAAGCATAACACGAAACAGAAATAAAAAGAAGTTCGTAGATTTGATAGGCTGATGATATATTTGAAGACAAGATATATCCCAAGTAATTTTGCATGTGTAATTTTTTCGTGTTTATTCGAGGCGATTTTTTTTTTAACGAAGCTGAATTGTACTTTGGAATATGTATGAAACATGAACCAAACAGTCAGGCAACTAACTGGCTTTGCAAATATTAGTTGGCACTACGTTTTCTGTTCAGTCAAATCAATCGGCTCTCATTCCAAAAATCAAATAAACTTCCGTTCTCTACCTGGTCCATATCTCTGGTTGCTTTTGACATTCCATAAATCGACTTTTTATTCTCTTTTGTTTTGTGTTTTCGAAACCGATTTTAATCACTCTCAAAGTTCATATACTTGTTTCTTTTTTTGCATTGGATCAACTAGGGTTCTGTTCTATTTGTAAGCATATAGTGAGACCAAATGATATGGAATCCGAAATAGGTGTACGCTACTGAATAACAATTTAGAATTGGAATTTCGATTCATTACTTTTCGGCACACAGAGTGTGTAAAGCGAAGTGTAACTTTTTGAATTTGCTTCAATCATTTTCTTTTCAAAGGATAGAGTTTTTAGGGGCTGTTTATTTTTCTACTACAGACTACGGTTGGTTAAGCTTACGTAATTTGTTTCTTTTTTTTTTCTTGAAGAGAGATAGAGAGAGTGAAGACAAGACTCACTTATTGTCATTTTGTTTATTGTTCCATCGGACTAGATGCTTGGTCGCTTTCGTTATTCAAACCATAGTCATATCTCATCGGATAGTAAATAAATGTGTGTGTAACATGATGCGATTTCTTTTTTTCATATAGGTATATACTGGTTAAAGTTTGCTTAAAATTGTACTTGTTATAGAGTTGAGCGGCTTGGAACAAAGCTACAAGTTTCTCAAGCAACACTGGTGTTTTTTTTTCACTACTTAAATGCGAAACTGCAAGCTAAGCTAAATAGGTTTATTTAATCATCCGGCGGCCGAGTTTCAAAATTAATGGCTTCGGAAACTTATTTTCTAACTGTGTGTTTTTTTTTCTTCTTCTTATTTGCTGAGTATCTTTGGTTAATTCTTAGTCTAAAACGAGCTGGTCATTAGCTCAACTCCATCATATGCTCGATCCGTTCCACTCATTTTTGGTTCCATATGATACATTCACAATTTACTCGTTCCATTGTGTGCTCTACTGCTGATGTGCCGTACGTGCTGATAATGTTTACAGCTTTTTGTACCAATATAGGTAGTGATAGTTATTTTCAACGATCATCTCATCCACTCCGACCTATATGAAAATTGAATATTTCGACCAGAATTAAAATTTTTGCAAAAAAAAAGTCAGTCTTCCTGGCAAGAAAGAATACAATAACACCAAACTTCTTACCGAGTTGATAAATTTATTCTCCGGCAGTTTATTTGGGTCTGGCATATCAGGCAGCTTGTACAGTAGCCAATAGTTGAATTTGGTGAGATCTTCGGTGTGTGCACCGATTGTATGAATATAATGGCCATTTGGCCATTCATGTGCTTCAAATGCGAAACGTGGATCGATATCAGCTGCTTGAACCATTGCTTGATAGAATGTTGTGTTTCGTGGTGATGTCATAGCCAATGAAACAGTATCAACTGGTGGTTTCAACGAAAACCAAATGGTATACTGCAGAAGGATGGGCAAAATCATGAAAAATGCCATACAATTCATCGTTCAAAAAAAAAAAACTGTTCAACAAAAGTTAAAAACTTACCGTGAACGAAACGGTTTGGATATTAATTTCCGGCACGCTAGGTGCTGATGGAGTCAATGGTACAGGCGAAGCCAGTTTTTGTTCGGTAACTTCTGCAAAAGACGTTCGAAAAAAAAAACATTTTAAAAAAATTCTGCGATTTGTCTGAAAAACAAAAATAATTCAACAGTGTCGCCACCTAGCAGTGAAAATAGCAAATTTGATCATTCCCCTCTGTTGTTTTGACACATGCGTATACACATCGGGCCGCATCTGTCAATCGCGCACATTGTTGGGCAAACGTGAATGTTAGTGTTATTTACATCAGTGCTGTGATAAATTTGTTGCATAAAGACTTGTAAAAAATGATGCGCCGTACGCCGCTCATAGTGATACTCGGTTCAACGGCAACCGGTAAAACGAAATTATCGATTGAATTGGCAAAACGGTTCAATGGCGAAATAATTAGTGCTGATTCAATGCAGATTTACAAAGGATTGGATATATCGACAGCTAAAGCAACACCGAAGGAACGTTCAAAGGCCGTGCATCACATGTTGGATGTGTGTGATATGAAAACCAAAACATTTACGGTGGTTGACTTTCGTGATGCGGCACTGCCAAAAATTGAACAATTGCTCAAGGATGACACAAAGCCAATAATTGTCGGTGGGACAACGTATTACATTGAAACATTGTTGTGGAACGTGTTGATTTCGTCAAAAGATCGGGCCGACAGTGAAGAGATAACGACATTGGGTGACACATACCGTTCAATGCCAGTTGAAGAAATCGTAAAAAGATTAAAAATTGACGATTTAAATTATGACAATCCATTGGCATTCCATAACGTTCTATCAAAATTGGATCCAGTAACTGCTCAAAGTTTGCATCCGAATAACGTTCGTAAAGTTCGTCGAGCTCTAGAGGTGTATATTGAGACCGGTCGACCGATGAGTGAAATTTTGGCTGAGCAAAAATCTCAAAAAGGCAGTAGCTACTTGGGTGGACCAATGCGTTTCGAACATGTTATTCTACTTTGGATAAAATCGGATCAAGAAAAACTGAATGCCCGCATCGACCGACGCATTGATAGTATGGTTAACGAAGGGATGTTATTCGAAGTTCGCGAATGTTATAATTTATTGAAAAATGATGGTATCGATCCGACCCGTGGAATCATGCAGGCAATTGGTTTCAAAGAATTCTTACCATACCTAGAAAAATACACCGACCAAACTTTTGATACGGAAATCACGGAATTCATTCGTGAGCACGGTGGTTTGACTGGACAAAAAAAGTTCATAATCAAGAATCGAATCACGGATGCCCTTAAGCTGCTGGAAGATTGTTTGGATGAATTGCGATTACAAACAAAGCGTTACAGTAAGCGTCAACTCAAATGGATACGAAATCGTTTGGTATCGACAAAGGGACGTTATGTACCGCCCGTTTATGAACTGGATAGTACGGATGCCGAAACCAATTGGCATACGAATGTTTTTAGTAAAGCCGAGAATATCATTCAATCATACATTGACAATGTTGAAGCGAATGTGAGACCAGCAGAGAAAAAAGAGCATCCGGCTGCCCATTTGAATATGCATGTCACGCATTTTTGCGATGTTTGCAACAGACGTTTCGTTGGTGACTTAGACTATAACATTCATCTGAGTTCGGCAACACATTGGAAAGCAATGGAAAAACAGCGTAAGCTAGCGTCAGCTGCTGCTGCTGCTGCTACTGCAGCCAACAAACTTAGTAAACGTTCCATTTTCACACAAATCATTCAAAGCATATGGGATTATTGTAACCGGACGAGAATTAGAATGGTTTCGTTCTTTTGGAAATAGGCGTTTAACAGAGCGATTTAAGCGATTATTTTCTACCAAAGTGTTGAATTTGTAGTCATTTTTCGATTCGAATAAAGAAAAGACAAAACTGAAATCTTTTTTTCTTCTTTTTTTCTCTCTCTCTCGGGCAAAAGTTAATGTTGTATTTCCTACTTACCATGACGATAGCTGCTTGTGTCACTCAAAATGTTATTGTTACATTCGAGCATACGAACGGCGCTAAGTCCTTTTCGTCCCAATGCAAGTATGATATGAGCTGTCAGACCGATTCCCATGTTGGCATCTTGCCCATCGGCAAGCGGCTCTTCGCTCCAACTTCCGTCTTCGTGTTGACGATCTAAAATCCATTTGGATGCGGCCGCTCGGCTCCATGCTGCGTTCGGTATTACATTCAAATTTTCTAGCGCTTGCATTGAAAGTGCTGTGCTACGTAACGAGCCAACATTCCCTTGTGTCGTTTGAAGCAATGCCAGCCGAAGAGATGATTTACGTAGGAAATGCTCCAAGTGACGATTGTGATGGTCATTCATTACACAGCGCAGTGCCAATATGGCAAATGCCGTCGTTTCTGTACATATATCATTGAGCCGGAAGGAAAATCATGCGTTGAACTTAGTATGCTTGCTCTTTTTTTTTACTTTCTCTTAGTGACAGAGGAAAAAAACTTTTTTTTTTGATTTATTCTTTGACTTACCAATATTCTGATTACTCTCCAGGGCAATGTCGATCAATTGACGAATTTGGCGTTTACGAACATGTTCCCCCAAGCTGCACACAGCCAATGTGGAGATTGCAAATATTTGATCATCATTGGATTCATGATGTTGAAGCATTGTCAAAAGGTCATGTTGATGCATGAAATGCTTTGGATCTTTGCATAGAGCGCCTGTGGAAATGGAAAATTCGGGCAAATGTATACCATAATCGGTTTTGATTGAATTATACCACGTTGTGGATAGCAACGCGAGGCGGAGGGTTTTGGATTGGAATAAGGTAGGGGGAGATAATAATCACCTAGGGCTAATGTATAACGAGCTAATTCGGCAACATCAAAGCTTCTTGGCATTACAGCATGATGATGATGATCGATTAGCGATAAAATCTCAATGGACATTTGCTTAATCGACAGCTGGTCTTCCAAATTTTGAATGATTTGAATGTGAGCATCGGTTGATTCAGCAAAATCTCGTTCACCCGACAACTGTAGTATTTATGTGCGTGTTTATTGTAAATGAACGATGACGACGACGGTGTGATGGTGACGAAATGATTCACATGGAAATATAATTAGGTTCATTTTGTGGTGAATGTGCTAAATACACTGTGATGAATAATTAATTTTGTAAACAAACCTCTTTCGCCAAGATAACCATGTGCGTATCATTTCCCCATCCAAAATCAGCGGACCGTTTTTCGCCTAACCAATCCAATGCACGAGTGATGGCTTCACTTTCACGTTGATTCGGTCCTTTCGTGCCAATATAAACATGTTCATCGAATGGATTTTCTATTTCGATTACCGTCAACGGTGATTCGTCTGATGGGAATTCGGGCGATTGCATTGATACCGAATTGGATGAGGTGCTTTCTAATGTATTATACGAAACGGAACCAGGTTCAGTTGAACCCATAAAATTGATACGGGCTGTTTTTTGACTTGAACTAGGCCATGTGGATGGTGTACGCGAAAATTCAGAATTTGTTCCTGCAGAAGAGAATATAAAAATAGTAAACAGTAGAATTGTAATTACGGAATTAAGAAGAAAATCACGGGAAAAATGAGTGTAATTATGAAGCGGAACCAAAAATTACCAGTTGAATTGAGTTGAAATATTGGATTTGCTGTGGCCACGGCTGCAGTGACTGGTGATGTTGAAACCAGAGATATCGCATGCGTTCCACTAATTATTGTTATTGCAAGCGCCCACAGGGTGATGTTGTGCCAAAGTTTTGCGTGCTTGTTCATTTTGCTATTATATTCCATTGTTGTTGTTGTCCTCGTTGTTGTTGTTGCTACTCCTTTCGTTGGGTGCTTTTGTTGTCCTCGTCGCCGCTGTCTTAATTGTCGTCCACCGGAACAGGCACTGATGTTGTCCTTAACAACGATATAGAAAAAAAAGAACAAACAAACCGTCAACACCATTGCAAAAAAAGGGGGTTTGAAGTATAACGAGTGGGAGAAAAAAAACGCAACTACTGCAATACGGTCAATTATTATACTAATTATACGGTGGCGTTGAACTCACGAGAAATGAAAACAATGAAACGATGGAAATGACTTCAAATCCCTGGATTATTTCCATTTTATAACACAAAAGGGCTATAGAAATGAGAAAAGTCGAGATGAAAATAAAAGACGAGGCTAAATCCACCCCATTCAGCCGTGATTTTATTATTATCAAATCATTTCCAGTGGCTTCTTCTCGACATCCCTCTACCCTCCCTTCTACCCCGGAACTCCGTCGTCCGTCACACCAAACCAAATGAACATAAAATCGAATGGGCGGCTTGTTTGCTTGGCTTGCATTTAATCTTTTAATAGGAAGGAAACGGTGCTCTCACATTCTCTTTGGAAATGGAATTGCATTCGGAAAGGCGCACGGAGTTTGAAACATAATTTGAAAATTAATTGGGCGTAATAGACATCGATATTTCAGTTCAATGGCTTCGAAAAGGAGATACCAAACTGATTTATTTTCTCTTCCTTTTCTTATCCACACTCACACACATACACACACACACGCACACAAGCATATCTATAATCTATTGTGGGTTTTGCTTGCTTGCGTGCACTGTCGTTCGTCCAGTTTGAAGACGAGAGAGAGAGAAAGAATTGCTTGTAAAAGAGCACACGTATACACTCGTACATATATAACACAATTATGGGTGCTAATGAAAGTTTTCTGTGCATAAAATTATTTACATGAACGCAAAATGCTCATCCAAATGCAAATGATGCGAATTAGCCGGAGTGCTTACCATTTTGCTTCAATGGTTAGCAACAAGAAGAAGGACTCTCACATCGAATTAAAAATAGAACCACACATAAATCCGATTTTCCAATTCAATTCGCATATCGTCGTATTTATCGCCTTCTGTTGATTCACTACCGAAATCAAATCATTTTACTCTATTAATAAAAGTGACGGTGTTGTTGTGGAGAGAGTGCCTTAAGTAGCTAGGGAGATATGTAAATTTCTAATTAAATCGACCGTTTTGTGTACATGTTTTGTTCAACATCCAAATTGTGTGCGAGCACGTGATGTTTTAATTTCTGCTGAGTTTGCTATATTTAAACGATTTCTTATAAGAACAGCAAGGCGCTACACAGATAACATCAACCATTTTTTTTATGTGTGAACTTGAGTGTGTGTGTGCCTCGAAAGCATGAATTATCATGCATTTGATTTGCGTCAGCTCTCATATTTTCAGAGGAAAAAAATGAAGCTAATTTGAATCAATAACACGGTTTAGTTACTCTAATCGCGCAAAAAATGCGCATCACTTTTTTGCTTCAGAACTGTTTTCTTCTTCACTTTGATTCTGTATAAGTGAATAAAGAAATTTAGATGATAAGCTAGAAAATGATAATTTTCAAATAAAAAAATAGAAACAAATATTTTGCTCTTGATTTCTGTATTTATTTTAATTTATTAAACATCTTATCTGCTACGGTTAAAATAACCGTAATTAATCTCTTCTAATAAAATACGCAATAATCTCTATTTTACAAAACTAATATCAGTAAAAAACCGTAAAAAATATAAATTAGTGTCCAGCTCGAAACGATTAAATGAAACGTTTCTTCCTTTTTTCGAAAGCCAAAAAGAGACATTAAGAAATGCGTTGAGGTTTGATTAAATTTGTTAGATAACAACTCAATCTCCTTTTGCGCCGCCGGCATCCGAGGCAACAGCAACAGCAGCAGCATCGACTCAACCCCTCATTAAAACTTCTCAACGATATGAATGTAAAAGGCTGGATTGGAATTCTCATTGAGCTGTTTGAAGTCACCGCAAATTTGGTGGCGCATTCGGGTCCCAAAGCTATGTCGTAGCATTTGGCTAAAAACATTTAGCTTGTGCGGATAGTATGATAACCGAAACTCATTATTTTCATTGTTCATATTAATGATATAATCTAAAGTAATTAACGCGGGTTTGCCGCCAACATAGAGAACAGACGTTTTTATATCTGTCATGTGCTCGCTCTGTGCAGGAAAACGAAAATCGAAATAAATGGTAAAATGTTATATTCATTGACCTTTTTTTTTCGTTCACACCGTCACCGTCATCATGTTACGACGAGTGAGAGAGTAAAACACTTGAAAAATTGCGCTGTAATTTTTTTTATGTTTGGCAATAATCACCGACAATAAATCACACGCACAATTTTCTGGCGTCATTTCATATACGGTGTTATATGACTTACGTTATAATAAATGCTTTTAGCTGGCGTTGATCCGGTATCCATGATATTATCATAATTTCGATGATCGATCAACAAAAGGCCACCAGGTCGAACGCATCGCTCGAAATTTGCAATGGCCAACTTTTGTTCGCGTTGATCACCGTAATTGTCAAGCATGTGTGCAAATGAATTGCCCAAACAGATGACCGCATCGAAACCATCACCAATTAAATGTTCAATATCGTCGTACAGTGTGAGCCAATTGGCTTCCTCGATTACTGAACGAAAAGGGAAAGAGACACAGAGTGAATGAGTGAGTGAGGGTGAGAAAGTGGAATGAGTAGACCAAGCCAACGAATAATTAATTCGAATGGCTATGAAAATGTGGTCGTGAAAATGTTATGTGTATACGATGTGCCTTACTCCAATTATCAAAGCCGGGCTCTTTGCGACGATTCCAGCGCTCTTTCAGTGCATACTTGAGCATCTTATCGGATGCATCGACCGAAACCACATCAAAACCCTCCTCCACCAACATTGCCGAATCGATTCTAATCGGAGAGAAAAGTAAGAGAGGAATTTTCGAGTAATTTAACTTGATGCAACTTTATGGCTTTATTACTGTCGGTTCTGGGCGCTCTCTATCTCTCTCTCTCTTCTCGCCCAAGCATCCAAACATTTTGATGCGGTTACGCCAAAAACGAACCAAACAATTTGAAATTAATAAACCGAAAGCATTTTATGCAAAGCCTTTTCCTCTCCGTCTCGTCCTTTGCGAAACGAAAGGTTTTTGTCGAAAAGTAATTTTCGGTATTTTGAACTGTGATTTACCCAGTGCCACAGGCCACATCAAGTATTCGACGGCTGCCTTTGCTTCGCAATAATTCCAACAAGAAATTCTTATAGTTGTCCGTGCGAGAACTTTTATCACCGATGAACACCTCCCAAACGCTGGCAGCTCGCCCGTCCGCATATTGATCCACACCGCCATCACGCACCATTCCATCACCGCCTGATATACCGTCAAAACGTGATTGCATTATACTGTCAGCCACCATCACGCCGTCTCTATTTCTCGTACGTTGTCGTTTCTCTTATGACACTTTATCCAAGAAATATTTCAAGCCAAAACCAAATTTGTTTTTGCTTCTTTTTTTCCCGATATTTTTCTTCGTCTTATTCCGTCGTTCACAAACAACTACTTCTAATCCCCGTGTTCCTTGTGATATGATATAACTTTATTAACTTTATTTCATTCGACTTGTAATGCACGAGCTGTTTGAAAATTTGTGAGGGAAAAGAGTTCGCGAAAATATGATGATACGAGCACCCTGACTTATTTCACTTTACTGAATAGTCGGTCTTTCGCGGAATCTCCTTAAATATTATTCACAAACGACGACGACGCCTCACATATTATGTTTGTTTTCTTTCGTGATATATAATAATAATGAAATAACGAAATGTTGTCATAACGAAGAAATGACATAGCGATTTGGCACATTTGCTCTCTTTTCTCCTTCCCTTTTCCTCACACCAACACGGCCATACTATCGCTAGCACACGAATAGTCACGCCGATTCATTTTTTTGTGTGGTTGTTGTCTCGCTCTCGGTTGATTCGACCTTTTCGTCGTTTTTGGCTCCGTTATTCCTGTTGTTGTTTTGGATTAAATATATTGAAAATACGTTTGTAATCATAAGCTTTTGCCTGTAGAAAAACAAAAAAATATTTCTGATTTGGCCGATAACGTCCGCTATGATGACAGTCACACTCTCAATATAATCACGTTCACAATATACTCTCTTTTTCCCCCCGTCCAGTGCCAAAATATAGCCTGTGTGCGTGCTTCAGATTCACGTTTTTTTCTTTCCGGCTTGTAAGTTATTTGGCAAAGTGCGTACGACGAAATCATTCATAAAATTACATTATGACTGTTATTTTTTTCAGCTTTCATGTGTCTTCTTTTTTTTGCTCACTCGATGCTGGGATTTTCTTAAAGCGCTTGTAGATAAAGGGCTTTCGACTAATTGATCGATTAAATTTCATTTTGTATTGCATGGAATTTTTACGTTTAAAAACAAAAAAAAACATTTTTGGTGGTTTTCCCAATTTCGGTACAAAATTGATGAAAAATAAAAGCTCAATCAATAAATTATGAAAATTCCATTGAAAGTAAATAAAAACAATGAAGTGCACCAGAGGAAAAAACCGTTCCACGTTGCACAAAAAGCTCAAAAATAAAATCAACCCTAAATCCCTATTTCATCGAAGCGATAATTCAAAACACCCGAGCGTCATCTGTATAGCCACTTGTTTTTTTTTTGTTTGTTATGGTTTTGCACACATTTTTGTTATGGCTTTTTTTCACTCTCTCTCTCCCACTTTCTCTCTCACTCTCCTCCTGCACTCTCGTTCTCTTCCTTTCTCTTTTTTTCTCTTTATGAATGATGAAACTTTTTGCTGCGTTGTACAGTTTTTTTTCCGGTCGTCGATTGAAAATAGTTTGTTGTTTTTTTTTCTCGTCCGTAATCTAAACGCAACCCCTTGAAGTCACGAATGGGTGTTGAATGGGAAATAACCATTAAAGCACACACACACACACACACACAAAAAAACTGCTGATATCGTGGGAAAATATTTTTTTCTGCTGCCACGATGCAGTCGCACTCAATCTTGTCTGGTGAGAAATTGCTTAGGAGAGAGAGAGAGAGAGAGAGAAAGAGAAAAAAAAGGGCAAATGAATCTCATTAATTTGTATAAATCTGACATTCAAAGCATTCTTGTGGTTCAATGCAGAAAAAAAGGCGACATTCAACATTCGAATGAATTTGAAATCATCACGTCGCATCATCATTGTCGTCGAGTTCATGTGCTGAAAATTGCGTCTGTTGAAATGCTGATAAAGGATTATCCGTCGCAAATTGCCGCACCAATTAATGCCCCGTTATCATTTTATATGGCATTCAAGTGGATAGTTCCGTCCTAAATTTTTTTTGCGTACACTGCCCGATATATTGTCTGTTATGATTTTGTCATTTAAGTCTCTGTTATCAGTTTGTTTTGCTTTTTTTCAATTGTTTTTATTTTCTGCTGCTTCTTTTCTTCCACTTTTCTTGTGATTGAATTGATTTTTGAATGAAATAATTGAATGAGTTACTAAAAATAGATTTGAAGGCATGTTGAACCATTTCGTTACGAAATTTTCGTAGTATACGATCTGGCGCTCGAGACACAATTAGCAACGCAGTCGACTCGAGTGGATATGTATATGGTACTCGATATACCATTCATTGAAAAGTAATGCCAAAAAAAGACTCGAAGCATGAACAGAAAAAAAAAAATAACGCACAATAACATCCACAAATCATTATGAGTTTTCAAAAAGAAATGACAAACTCCCCAGAAATTTTTTTAGTCAACAACGCGCAATTATTTGTTTTTCGAGAAAAAAAAATCATATCAATTGCGATTTTTTTTCCACATGAAGTGTTTGTTCTGCGAACCAAAGCGTATTTATCACTATTTCTCGTTGATTGTCGACCTCTTATCGCGCTCCGTAATAGGAAAAACATCACGCAAAATGAACGACGCAAAGACATCTTGAGCGAAAAAAATATAAATTTTCGAAAAACTTGTTATCAGCGCGTAAATTTTTGAATTATTACTTGTTCATTGCTGTTTACCAATAACATTTAGAATTTATATAGCCATTGGCTATTAGCCAACCCAAATGTGCGTGAAATGAATGGCAAAGATAGGAACGCTTTTGGTTTCTTCATATACCACTTATTCATCATTACGACAAGGAAGATTAACCCGCTAATGCATTAATTTTTCCCAGGGATAGGAGTACTGGTACTTGGTTGATTTTTGGCCATAGATATTTAAAAAAAATATTCATAATCCTGGATTCCTCATGGTTTAGTCAGGAAATGCGATTGACATAAATCAGAGAACAATCAAATCCATTGTTTAAAAGTGTCAAAAATGTGTCTAATTTGAATTTTGAATAATTTGTATTGTCAAATTTTTGTTTCTGCACACATTTTTGTTTATAACTTTACAATCACACTACATAGACAAATATTGCCAAAGACAAAAATAAAGAAAAAACATTGACGAATAAAAATTTACTTTGAAGCAATGTGATCCGTTCTACAGGCGTTCAAATGTTGCCCGTCTAGAGGCGGTTGTATGCATTAGAGGGTTAAATGAGCCGAAAACACTCTCGGAAATGATTAAGGTGACGAACAAGGAAAAAAAAACAAACGAAATGAACATGAAATGAATGTTCTACATCCAAGAAGAATGTGTAAGCCAAAAAGAAATAGTTTGTAATTTGTTTAATGTGAGTTCTGTTCATCAGATGCAAAACTTTGCAACAAACAAACTTATCAAGCCTAATGAATGTTTCGTTTCTCGGTAAAATTCAATAGGTCAAAGTGTAATTTCATTCGAATGCGAAATGGTAAACTTGTAAGTTTGATTGAAATCGATTCGAAAAATTGGTGCAAAATATACGAGGAATATATATTTCCTTGATTGCCTTTTATGTGCGACAATTTACATTTACTGTTCACAATTTTCACGCAAACCTCTTGAATTTCATGCAAACAAAAGTCACGCGATTTACTCTTCGGTACAATCTCGAATCGAAAGTTTAGCGAACCAGAAAAAAAAGTGCCAGCTGCGATTTTGGCTTGAACAAAATCGTGTGCCAACAAAGGAATCGTGCAAAGAATAAACTCACTGGACCATGACTCGGTGTTTGTTTTAGCGATTAGAGTGATGTAAATATTGATTTTGTAAAAGAGTTTTAAAGTCTATGTGTGTCCCTGACGATGCTGACGATGTTAGAGTCGTCGCTGGATACTGAAGTCGCTTGAATCATAATCATCTTTCCCATTTTCAAGTCTCCGAAAAATATCTCCACTTATTTTGAATGTGCTTTTCTTTTTTATTCGCCTCATTCTACGAAACGACGCTGGGAAATGGGCAACTTTATGCGAAAAAATATCACAAGTCAAAAGTTTGCGAAACCGATTTGAATTTATAGACTTCGCTTCAGCGGGAAGAAAAAGTTGAAGGCGTTTGTTTTCTCTCTTTCGTTTTTTCTTTCATTCTACAAAGCTGCCTCAACATTGTTACGAAACGAGCTTCTTAAAAAAAAAAAGAAACGAGCGTAACAAAATCAGTATTGAAAAAAAATCCAGCGTTTCGTTTTTCGTCGCTCATTCTACCACTCAAGCGACACATTATCGATTTCCGTTTTTGATACGTAAATTATCTGGTGAATTAAATACAAAGTGTGGCAAAGACATCGTACGTTTTCTTACTCCTTTTTCTTTTCGCCGCAACTGCTACTGCTGTTGCTGGTGGGTTATTGTTCCAAGATTTGGAACAAAAAAATTACTCCACTTACTACAACCATTTTTCCCATTTAATGGCGAAACAAGACGATGAAGAGAGAGCTAAAAAACATGCCAGACAGCAATTGCGCGTCGACAAAATTGTGTGACGTTTTAAAACCAACGCTGCCAATTGGGAAGTGTTCAACTAATGTCCGTTTCAATTTAAATCCAAGCGATTTTTCTCTATACGTGGGAAAAAACGAGTGATTTTAAAAGCATGTCATGCATTCATAACACCACAAGTGGAAAAAAAAAATACACAGAGAATGAATGAGAACGAAAAAATGGGGTCTGTCAATTTTCGTTTCATTGCAGGCAACGTGACATGAAACAAAGCGAACCGCATCGAGGCAACGGGCGAAAGCGAATAGTAGTCAAGCCAATAGTAAAATAAATGTAAGTGACAAGACATGATTCCATGACCAAAACTGTCAATTCCAAGTGAAAGGCGAAGGCAAACGGGCTTGTTCACCACACGAGAGAGAAATGGAGAAAACCACAAAATGTGTAAAATTGCTCTTGATGGAGATCACCACGGAAAAGTGCGAATGAAGTTTTTTTTTAAGCTTTCCTTTCTAAATAACATGAACGGTTAGCCCATTCGGTTTGGATCGTAGCAATGAGAAACTCAGAGTCAACGCGCCAGCAACAATAGCAGCAGCAACACCACCATCATTGGCCCAACGACAAAAGAACGTTAATTTTTTTTTTCGTTTCTGAAGAGCTTCGTACTAATTTTCGCCAGAAAATTTTTCCAGAAAAGTCGGAGCAGGGAGCAGCGTGCGATAGAGAGGATATTTTAATTAAAATTTGTAGGTTGCGCCACAATGAATGTGTGATGGACGTGTAGAATTTCTGGAAAATCACAACTTAATTAAAACTACTTACAATGTTGTGTAATGTGCTTGTTTGTTTCAGCTTGCATTGCAAACATCATCCACACACTCACACATACGCATGCTGTGTGCTCTCTGTCTCTGTGGCTCTGGCTCTCCCTTCGATCCATACGAATTTATTACGTGCAAGAAATTAAAAATCATTTTTCGGGGTGGTTGTATAAGTCGACAAAGTGTGGGCTGTTCGAGCAAACAGGCGAACGAAACCGACGAATGAATGAGCGAGCAAAGACAAGCAAATAGGCGAGCAAAAGTTAAAACCCGTCAAGTCAAGCAAGCATGCAAGCCCAGTGTATCGACCAGATTGCGAATACCAACGGGTTGTGTACAGTGTATGCGGTTTGGCAATAGAAATTCCATCGGGCTACATGCATGATGCTTAAGCGTTTGCTTTCTGTCGCAAATTTTAGAATTTATTGTTTTACAACCAAAAGGCGCTTTTATTTTTGCCATTGCATCTCAACTAGTACAATGTAAATTTAGCCTGAGATTGGTAGGAGGAGGAGGAGACCCGCGTGTAGTTTACAATGAAAACATTTCATTTCGCTCCATTTTTTTTCCTTCATATAAACATACACGTCAAGCAACATTTTTGCCATGGCAAAGTGGCGTTGGCGCACCAAAATCGCGTAGAAACAATGTCATTTCGGTGAACATGATTTTCAAAATCGGTTTGTGCTTTGTGTATACGCGCCCTTTTCCTTATCTACGGCCTCCTAAATGTTACAAATGTTCACAAGAAACTGAAAATTGTGCCATTCCATGCCGCGCCGTGCATTCGAAGGAAAATGAATTTATGGCGAAAATCGGATTTATTTTAATGTGTTCTCGTCGTTCTCTAAATGAAACGCCGTTAGTGTGTTGAACGACACTAAATGCGTATGTTCCGTATTGTTTTTAATTCATATTTCCTCATTGTATCGAAATCATATTTCCTCGACTTGACGAACATCGACTGTGTGGAAAATGGACTATGAATGTGTGTGTGTGTTTATGTACGCGCGCTAGTGAGTTGTATGTGCAGTTTCTTCTGTTCAACAAAATTAAATCAACCTTAATCAAATGGTGTCAACAGTGACACTTCGTACATTCTCATTCTCATTCTCAGTCCCCATGAAATATTCATATCATGTTAAAAACCATAGTCGACTCTTCTTCTTGAGTGTGAATTCTATTAAATTGTTATCGAATAACGTCACGAATAACGCGGTCGCTGCGGCTGCTGCTGCCTGCTCGGCACCAATTTCAAAAACTCCTTTGTATTCCGAATGGTAAAATTAAAATTCGTTTTTATTGCTTTTGCAGGCATAATTTTCAAGAGAGAAAATTGTGGAATTTTTCGTGCATGTTTAATGAGATTTTAATGAATAAAATGGAACGCGTTAAGAGGCGGAGAGTGTGTGAGAGAGAGAGAGAGAGAGAGAGAGAGAAATAGAGAGAGGGAGGAGGAAAACAACGAGGCTTTTCAACTAAAGCGAACATATTTATATCCACTATGCCCATTTTAAAATCAATGACAAAGTAAGTGAACCGTAAATAGAGTGAAGTGTGTGTTTTTTTAGCACAAAAAAGGCCCTTCACATTTTGAATAATCATCCGTGCGCGCTCTGTTTCTGTTTCTCTCTGTCTTTCTCTTTCTCGTTTTCTGTCTCTCTCCACCCCGAAAATAGGCAGTAAAATTTATTGATCATTTCATTGTCGCAGAATCGATGTTATTTTCTCGTTTAATGAACAGCATATGGTGTGTCTGAGTGTGTGTATTGCGAAAAATTGGGTGCTTAGAAACAGCTGATATTTGTCAATGTCATGTGATGTCCTCTTTTATTTCGTGTCGTTTCATCGTTTTCGATTTCTTATTAAGTTTATGATGCCAAAATACAAATACATACAAAAAACATATAAAATATATAGCAAATTTACCTGTTTATTGATTTTGAAATGGCTGCAAACTTTTTCACGTGCAAACAATGGAGAAACAAATACACACGTAGAAGAAAAAAAATTGTAATTACACAAGAAGAACAAAAGTATACAGGCTTATATAAAAGGTAGAACCACTAATGTTGAATACAACAACTTACACAAAACGAGCGAAAGAAAACACTAACAACCCAAACCACTCGTCGGTCGACTCGTTTATTTTCCAATGAATTACACAGGACAGGATTCTACTTTGACGTGGAAAAAAGTTTTCTCATGCCTTTTCCACAGCGATTTTGTGAGTGTTATGCATGTGAATCCAAGTCTGTTTACACTTTTCTTCTCTGTCTGCAAACTGAAAGTCGACAAGTTTTCAAGTTGAAAAACACAACATCTACACATCGACACCGATGTGAGTGTGAGAGAGAGATTGAGAGCCACGGAATAGCAACTGTGATTGAGAGCGAAAATAATTATTTACTAAGTATTCACTTGGCGATTGGAGCACTTCATTTAGATTTTGAATAAATAATTGTGCCGTTTTCAAATTTCGGCTCTATTTGTTTGCAAAGACACACACTCGCACGTAGATAGACTCGAAATATACAGTCAATTTTACGTAATGAGCTTCACTTGCATAACGTTTTCTGGATTTGTGTTTTATTTTTCCTCTATGCTGTATCGGTGTCGTCGAACTCGTCGATATTCTTTGTAAATATTGTGTTCGTCACTTCGAAAAAAAGACGTTGTTTATGTGTATTCTCTATGGTGGAAACGCGTTCAATTCTCGGCAAATTGGTACCACTTTCGCCAAATCAATAGACCAAAATTTTCAAACAACAACACACACTGGGTTCGTGTGTCTTGTTCGCTGAGTGTGAAGTGAAACGCACGCTAGAACTCAGTAAAGAACTAATAAAATATCGAAACGGCGCCCGGTATGGTGAACGTTATGTATGTATTGTTCAATGAGAAGCCAACCATCGACTGAATATTCACAGTTGTTCATCCAACCAATCATCCATCCAAGCATCGAGCGTGTTTCTATCCAGTATTCCAATGTGCAATTTTGGATGCGCCACGATGACGTCGTCGGTCTCTTCGCTTACAGCAGCAGCAGCAACAACAACAACAAAAACCGAACCATAACAATGCCGTTGTCGACATCGACAATGTTGTCTTTTGTGTTCTTTCTATGCTCCACACACAGTCGCTTGTTAATGATGAACGTGCATGCACAGCAGTGGCAACGGCAACGGCGGCGCCGATAACAACGACAGAGGCGGCACGGTGGTAACAGTAACAGCAACCGTACAGCACACAACGGCTCCAACTCGTTCGTGCGCATGATGACACAAAATTCGAATGAAAAACGGCATTGTATGAGATGGGGAAAAGCGGAATTGCGCTTGAAAACTTTACTGTGTGTCATGTGTGTGTGTGTAAGTGTAGATGCGAGAAAGAAAGAACCATCATTCCACTCAGGAAGTGAATGCTATTCGGCTTCGGTTTCAGAAGCGTACAGAATACCGGATTTCATTGCAATATCGTTAGCGAATACATATTCTCTCACTCGGTCTCGCTTCTATCGCTTTGGAAAATATATTTTGCATCGTACATAAACATTGGCTTACACAGTGAATATAAAAAATTCACAATATTAATTCCCAAGGAGAACAACCAAGCGCGTCATTCTTTTTCTTTGTCGCTCATCCGTTGATAACGCACACCCAAAACCTGATTGAAATTTCTTTCATGCGTCTCTGTGTGTATCGATGATTCTTTGAATCGTTCTGCGTGTGTTTGATGTGTAATTTTCAAAGGATTTTTTTTTGCACTGGTAGAATTCCCATTGGGTGACTACATCGACGACGATGTAGATCGACAAGCTGTTGTTACCAGCGTGTACAGCGGCTGCTTGGGTCCATCAATCACTAACAATAGCAAATGAAGAGGCAGAAGTCAGACGCCTCGTTATCTCGTCTCTATCCCTCTGGTATTTTTATGATTGAAAATATATGAACGCTGGCTGGATGGCGTCTTCGTCTCTTCGCTTGCTTTTTTTTATTTTAATTTCGGTGGGGTCCAAATTACATGCATTCAGCTTGATACGTACACCAGATACACGCTTATCTATATGACTTTCACTCGTTTTAACTCGTCGAACGACTGTCTGTATTTGCACTAACTGCTGTTGTCGATTATTTCTCCCTATTCGATGGGACGATGCCATGCACCAGTCGACACAAGTTGTCGTCTCGATTTTCTTTTGTACCACACAAGTTTTCATTGCAGAAACGGTTTCGTTGCAAAACGTGACGATTAATCGTCACACATTTCGCTTTAAAGTCGATTTTCAATAAATATACGAGATAGAAAACGGCCAGTTAGTAGCAATTTTCACTCGCACACAGTTCAAATCGATAGAAAAGGAAAAACTCTGCCCCCCACGCCAGATAAAAAAAAACAATGCATATAAAGTCCTCGGTCCGGATTTAAATACGTGTCGTTGAGGAATTGTTAACGTCTGTATTACATTCATAGCAAGGCAATTGCAGCCAAAATGATTTTGATTACGGTTTGACCATAAAGTGTGTTGAAAGATCCGCAGACATAAATAGCTTTTACCCAAATACACAAGCCGGATGCGTGGCAAAAGGGAAATTGAGAAAAAAAAATTCGGCATAAGCGAGATGCACAATCGATTTCAAACCAAATTACGTCGTTTGGCACATCTGTGCAACGACTTTGCCGTTGTTATTGATGACTTTTTATTCAATAAAAATGAACTACGCCTTTTTTCCCCCATTCGGTTCTCAACGTTAAAGTTTCGGACGAAAACCGTCAGACGCTCGCTGGCTCTCTTTCGTTGTTTGTAATGCCGTTTGCAGCAGAGTGATATAATAATTTCTCGAACTTCGACATCCATCCCAACACGCTTAAACATTTCACTCGATTGGAATTTCGGGCTTATATTCGGTGTTCGCTTTTTTTTCTGTTCATTTCGTTAGTCTCTTTTAAAAATAATTTGCGGTGGCCGACAATAAATTGGAATTTGCCACTGTTATACATTCGGAAAACAGCCGACTCCGTGTCTAACCAACGTTTTTCGTATACAATTAGGGTGCAGCGAGAATTTGGAGTGAATGACGGTGAAAAACTGTCTAGAGCGGCTATTGTAGAGCTTGACGAGACTGATAGCTTTTGTTCTGGAATTTTTCGGTCAGAATATACCATGCACAGATTAAAGTCACCAGGGAGCTGCGACACCCGCGCTCAACTTGAAGCTTAACATCAACAGATGGAAATAAGTACTTTTTGAAAGCTAGATAAGTCTTTGATATGTTGAAACAAATTGTGACCGACATAAAACTGAAAAACATTGCCTCAGACATCAACAAAAAGTTTCAATTCCCATGGAACAAAATACCGATGCATCTGAAAATTGTTGATTTTTTTAATTGTAAAAATCTCTGATAATTATTACAACAGTAGTGGGACCTTGTCAAGCTCTACAATAACCATTGGTTATTAAACACTCAACACGTTTTCAGAGTCAGTCTCGCTGCACCCTAGTATACATTGAGGTCTGCCTCGGTCTATGTTGGGCATTGTTGGAACAACACCGGACAAAAAAAAATTGTTTAACGCTTCGCAATTGCAGAGAGAGAGAGAGAGAGAGAGAGAGAGCTTGGAACTCTGAAAATTACCGTTTTAAATGCAAAACCCCTTAATCTACCTCCCCCGGGCAGAGAATAAAAAACTGTTCACCGGATAAATGCGATATATATATATATGTAGTTTATCTATTCAGTGTTGAAACAGCAACCGAAACCAGCCTGAAATATCATACACAAGCTGAACATGGTGGTGTGGCTGGCGTTGGGTTGTCCATGGAAATGAAAGTAATAACAACATTTTAAAGTGAGAAAATAATAGCATAGTGTGCCACATTGCGTGATTGTTTTGCTCTTGCTCGCTGAAACCCGAAATGTAATTGCAAACAAGCGTACAAATAAAAATACAGAACAAACAGTGACCAGTACACAAATCCGGCATCTATATTTTATGAGCCAAAATCAATGCATGTAGCACGCGCAGCATGAAAACACTGACCATTTAATTTTTATTGGCGATTCTGTTCTTGCACACACACTCTCTCTCTCATTCTGTCGCACTCTCACCTCTTTCGCTCTGGGTTATAACGAGTTAATGCGCTGCATTTTTTGTGCTTCATCAACATGTGTGGCGCCATAAATAAAACACAATAAATGAATGTCCCAAATATTTTTCTAGTTTATTAAATTGTTGTTTACAAGTTGATTTCCATTTTTCTGTGTGCATATTCATTATCCTTCAATTGTTTTCGTGCGCATTCAATTGCAGGCTCTCGTTTGTTGGGCCATTTATTTTTGAAACTGGAGTAAAATCACCAGATATGTTGTGATAGCAGCTCCAATCTGGAGTGAACGATAGAAAAAAAACAAGTAAACAAATTAATTTTTTACGACACAATTTTCGGTTCGATTTTTCATTGCTCTCGTTTATCACCGATGTCAACATTTGGCGGTCGATGTGACAAATTCCACAGGCAGAAAAAATTACACGATCTGCCAATAGTTTCTTCCAAAAATGTTTCAACTAAAACAAACGAACGAAGGAAAAAAGTATGACGAGAATGACACACTATAAACTTTTTCGATAAAATGCACTTTAACGACTTACGATGAACATGTCATGCTTTGTTTGCATCAATTCACAAACGCATTTTACCGTTTTTTTACCCTGGTTGTATGGAGAGAAAAGGAATAAAAATGACAATGAATTATAAAAGTTTTTATTTTTTTCTTTTTGCCCGTGAATATGAGCTGTGAATGCTTTGCAGTGTGCTATTTTTGCTCGTGGAATATTCTTTTCCATGGTAACGTTGTTAAGCTGCCGCTTTTCTCTCTCTCTCTCTCAGGTGGCTATGATGTAACTACACCATTTTTGCCTTGCACCATAATGAGAAATAGCACTTTGCGAACGCAATTTAATGGGAAAAATAGCGAAATTTGTTTTAATGACAACCGGCGTTTCGCTTACGGCCAACCACCACACTGAATTTGAGTGACACCACAAACAGGACGTGAATTCAGAAAAAGCTCGTTGATGGTACACACCATTCAATGGGTACCAATTTGCACTGACGAAACATAAATTGGTCTTAAATCGTTAAAATTACCTCAACGGAAACCTGTGAAAACATACGAAAGCACATTAAACGTTGGAAAAAAGATTGCATGCTGAAAATACGTCATTAATGGTGACTCACCATATGACACGGTTCAATTATTAATATCACTCGTGCACCATGGAATATTACCCATCCAACCTGCATTATCAAAAAATAAAAGTCCTGCAATAAAAATCATTATAAAATCGTGAGCATTTAAAATTTCGAGTAAATGCTTTTAATTACTTGTTCGCCCAGAAGTTCAACGAAAATATGGTACAGGGTAACAACCAAGTGAAACAAGCATGATACCATAAGAATAATGATCGTCACACCGAATTCGCTAAATGAGAGATGAGAGAGAAAGAAAGGGAGTGAGTAACATATTAAACATAAGCTGCTTTATGATAAATTGGAAATATAGTCAATCAAAATAAATGTGTATGTGTCGGACAGCTTACTTTGATTCACAATTCAAAGCAGTTCCAAGAGAATCATAAATTCTCATAAATCGATGCACAACATCCTCGGCTTGTTTGTAATCGGATCGAAAGTATCCGTGTTTGTTGACTGTTGCAAAATACAGGAAACAAGAAGTGAACAAACAAACGTACTATGTATCAGAATTTATAGAGAGAGAGAAAGCTCAGTAAACTTACGCGCTGCAGCGTAAATGGAGATGATGCTATTTAAAGACCGATACCGTTGGCCAATGCGATAAATTGTCACCGCAAATTTTGCATGCAACGGCACAAA